CTTAGCCGGAAGAAGGAGGTAAAGAGCAGGTACCCCTTTCATGTTGGGCCCCAAAGGTTATGAGGTGCAGAGCTCCCTTTCAGCAATTCATACCAGAGACCTTCTTTGACCCCTCTCTCCTTCAAAGGCCCTGGCATGAAATCCTCATGAAAGCACAACTGTAGGGACCCCCCTGACAATATTCAGTGGGAGTTCATGGCACCTGCAAAGCTGACTGAAGACACAAATCATGAAGGCTTCAGAAATAAGGGACTTGGAGGCAAATCAGTAATTGGAATTCCCCTACATATTCAGATCCAAATTGCAAGAGAGCCATCATGGAATTAATCAAGTGTGAGGTAGGAGCTTCCTGTCCTAAGGGCTGTTCAAAATCCACTCCCAGTACAGAGTTCATGTGTCTCTGCTCATTGCTGCACATCAAGAATGAGCATAAAAGAAAAAATAGGAAGAGGAGGAGGAGAATCCATAGCTCTGAGGGGAGTCTAAGGAGAACATACTTTCCCATGGGCTCCTGCAATGCAGCTTCACGTTGTGCCACCTGTCTTTCCAAAATAGCTGTGCAAGCCTAGTACTGTGAATGGAGGGTTGTTATGACACAGGGGAATTTATCTTTCTAAGGGTACAGAAATGAGCTCACTGCCCACTGGTCTGTGCAGGATCATGTACCCCAGTATCTCTCTTGAGGGCTCAGCCTCCAGACACAGCCCCAGAGCAAGGCAGGGCTGTAAAAGCACTGTTGAATTCAGAGCAAGTTTTTCCACAGCAGAGCTTGTGCCACTCCTCCTTGGGTATGTATAACAGGGAGGGACTGAGGATGATTGGGACTCGTGGACTCTAATGCCAGCTTTGCCACCCACCCACTGTCATTTGTAGAAGAAGTAAATTAACCTCTGCAGTCATCTGTAAAATTACTATAATAGGGACTGGGAGACTTAACAGCTAAGAGTAGAACTAAATAGATTAATGAAGTGCCTCTAGAATTAATGCACAGGACTGTTATGAGGTTTAACTCCTCATGTCTTGATACCAATGTATGGAAAGTGCTGTAATGGTCTCCAATAAGCAAGTGCCATTTGATGGGAGACTGCTCCTTCTTTACCTGCTAGTTTCCCACTAAGAGCACCAAGCCTGCATGGCATGGTGTCCTCTCAGAAGCCATTTACAAATGCCAGCCTGCCCTATATCCATTTGGCCAGGCCTGTACCCTGTTAGCAAGGTAGACCCGCACAGCTCCTGTTGAGTGACGCTCCAGCCCCAGCTCAGAAAGACACTGGCACCCCAGAGCCTGTTTCTGCTGCTTTCCTCCCAGATGAATGAGGAATGGTTCTGTGAATGAAAGCGAGGGGTATAATTTTGGGTTGGCAGGTTTCAGACCACATGGAAATCACAAAAGGCTCTGTCAGGAAGGAGTGACTGTTCTCCATTCAAACACACCGAGCGTGAGTCCTGCATGATGTGGAGAGCCAAGGCTGCCCGGCACAGCTGCCTGGGCCCATCATTCTCCCTGCTGCTGGGGCAGAGGGAAGGTGCTCTGCAGAGCAGTCCTCTAGGGCCAGTCCTGCTGGCAAAAGAGGATTGAGGGAAATGTTTCCCAAGTCTTGCTGTTCCTTGAGAGATAAAGTTGTGCCTCTCCTCTCTCTTGCAGGTTTCGTGTCCACTGCCATCGAATCGTTAACGATAACATTTTCACCAACCTGATCCTATTTTTCATCTTGCTCAGCAGCATCTCCCTGGCAGCTGAGGACCCCGTCCGACACCTCTCCTTTAGGAACCAAGTATGCTTCACATCCTCCTTCCCTCGCTGGGTATTAAAAGTGTGGTGTAAGCAGATCATGAGTTGAAGCTGGGAAAGGCAGAAAAGACTGCATCAGAGGCTTTGGGAGTGCCTGCCTTCTGTGATTTGTGCCTTTTGTAGGCTGTGTGTGAAATCATTGGGCTTTGCAGGGAACATGAGTCAGTGCAGAATTTGGCCTCTAGTTCATTTCAGAACCATGTGTAGGGGAAGGAAGAAGAGGAGGCTGAAGCAAAATTATTGTTCCCTGGGATTAAGGCGTTATAAATGAGCTGTAAAAACATTGATTGGGATACAGATAATTCTAATTTGAGGGATTTTCAGATTCCCTTTGGAACATTTACTCTGCTGCCACATGCTGTCTTTTGAACTAAAACCCCTGATTTTTACTTTATTCACACTGGTTTAAATCAGGAGTAACATTCTTCAGTTTGATGCAGTCACTCTGGGGAAAATTGATGTCATCAAGGTTAGAATCAGACTATTTGAACACAAGCTGCAAAGCTATTATTAAAGTTGAGGTAATCCTCAAAAAATATGCTGTGCTCCTCTCCTTACCAGCCTGGGGGGAGAAGAGGAAGGCATTCACCACAGAGGTACATTCCCACCTTCCTTCCTGACCATTCGTATTAGCTTTTTGAAATGTTCAGTGCTCCCTTAACTTTACCAGTGGTTGTTTCCATTAATCTGGGGTCATTGCAGAAATCAGAAGAGCCAGCAGACATATATGAGACTTCATATCCCTGCTGTCTGCAGTGGCATTTTGGTGAAGAGTTTGCTAAGCTTAAAGAGTAGGACGACTTTTTGTGGTTTAATAATAAAACCTTAATTTAATGCTCCCTGAAATATCCTGGCCTGAGCATGCATTTAAACACATATGTGCATGCAGAGAAGGTGTTAGTGGCAATTTATTCCCGAGCTTATCTCAGAGTAGCTCTGCATTTTGTCCTGAAGAATGGTGCTAAATAATACAGCCAAACCTGTGCCACCAAGGACCCCACTTGTGCACAGATGAGTGTGCCCACCATGTAGGGATAACTGCATGTCAGTATGAATTAGTGCTGCAGCATCTCAGCTGGCAGATGGGCTTCTGACATGCCACAGAAGCTGTAACAGAATCTGTAGCAGAGAGATTGAAATGAGTAGGGAAAAAAAAAAAAAGAAGTTAAAGCTTGTTGTCCTGGATTAAAGAGCTGAAGGTTTGGGGCGAAGAGTTATTTTGTGTATTTGAAGCCACTGATGTTGCATGAAAATCTGTGTTTAATTTTTGCAGGTACAGATGTTTAAAGTGTATCATACAAGGGGACACTGACAAGATGTTTGGGTTGCAAATGTGGTCTGCATTTAACAGTAGAACAGTAAGATTGTGCCCTACCCTGTGCCCACACAGAGGACTGGGAGGGGAAAAAAAGAAAGCAAGCTGAAAGCAAGGCACCTGCCTCTGCCTTCGCTCTGAGACTTGTGCAGACCAGGGCTGCTGTTGGCACAAACCATCCCAGAGCAAGGAGACAGGAACAGAGAGCCCAGCAAAGGCTAGTGAAGAGGCTTGGACACTGCTTCTGTCCTGGGGCAGGCTGGTGGCTGTGTTCTTCTGGTGTCACACAGGGCTCAAGCAGCAAGTTTTTGGAAGTGCCCCCCCAGTCTGATCAAACAGCCTTTGAAGCCCAAGCGAGTCCTAAGACTGTGTGCTCACAATATTCTCCTGTTTGCACCTTGGTAAGGTGCTTATTCATTTTAATATATTCTAGAGTAAATTCCTGTTTAAATAATAATGAGTGTGCCAGCTGATAAATGGTACTGCCTGCATAGGTGGAGCAGTGATCATTTTCAGTAGGCATGATTTCATCTATCAGGGACATCTTTACTAGCTGCAGCTTTGGAGCCAGATTCACCACTATGTTCTAGCTTCTTTGCAGTGCTCTGGTGATGTAAAGCAGCAGCAGGTACAGCTTAATCATCCACTTTAATCAAGTTTACAGATGCTTTATATTGATGAAGTCATGCAAGACAGCCTGAGAATACCCATGAATCTGGCCCATTGATTATGAAATTATTCCATTGCTATAATAGCCAAATGTCAAGACCTACAAAGCAGCAATGCAATAGGATATTACCAGTTATAATGTATGTAAATTAATATAGGGTGCAGTTAATATCTATCCCCCTTGAAGTGGCCTCTTTTTTAATTTTCTAAGTTGCAAAAATTTGTAGAGTCCATGATGGCCTTGGGATTAAAAATTACACAGTGACCTAAAGAATTTTAATACACAGTAGCAGTGATACATCCCCCCATTTGACATCCAGTGTCTGCAAATCAATCCAGATTTGGATTATGCTTAAATAGTGCAATGTGATATAACCCTGTAGGTTGCAGTAGCTGCCCCACTGCCCTTTCATACCATGCTGTAAAATCTGAGTGAGGGTGCAGGCTCTGAGCTACAATAAACACCTGTGGGATGGGAGAGGGCAATTTCCTGTTTTATGTTTATTAGTGTTAGCAGTAAAGGTTTACATTTCACAAATTATAAGTTTTCTACAGCTTCCATATATTGGCCTTCCAATTTAGAACTTGATTGTGGTAAAAGAGCACTAACCATGAGCACACAAAGCTTTGATATTCAGCATCTGTAGTGTAGATAGCACTAAAGTGGCTTGGAATATTGAAATATATTGGAAACTAAGACAGTTCAATTCTGGTCCCATTAGTCAATGAGAAAGTACCCATTTGCTGCAGTGGGTTGTCAACTGATTGGCAGTGAAAGACTTTTCTGTCCCTGATGCTGCTACTTTGAAAGCCCCTTTACACTTCCAAACTTGCTGTTGCCTTCTGTGACACTCTAGGGCCACTCTTTATGGTCTGCTATATGTGCCATGTGTATCTCCATCACCAGGTCTAGATTTCTGGGAATGAAGAGTGTTTCAGCTTGCTTGTTATCCAGGATGCCAAAGGAAAGATGTGAGATCTAAGCTGGGCACCTTTAGCACATGACCAAATTATGGTTGCAATACATGTGCTGGGATTCTGTTCAATTGGTAGAGTCTTTGTGATTCATCCTAATCCAGGGAAATTCAGGATAGAGAAAAAATAGCTAGAGTATGAATTTGTAGTTTACTTTTCTTCCTTTGAGAGAGAGCACGGGACAAGCCTGCATGAAAGTTAATAAGAAGAAATCTCATGTTTTCCACTGAGAGGCCAGGCATTCTTTGTATTCTCAGTTTGGGAGCCTATTTGGGAAAACCCTTCAACGTCGTTTATTAGATTTAAAAAAAAAAAAAAAAGAAATCCTACAGCAACCAAAAAGTTATTTTGCCTCAATAACGTTCGTGGGATTGTAACTCAGAAAAGATTTAATGTGATGTGTAATGTGCTTCTTGTCCTCTGTGCCAGGACCTTCACTGCATTCAACAGGACATCGTTACAAAACCATTCCCTATAGAGTCACCCTCGTTCCCTTGTGCAAAGACATATGTATTTGATTTTGAACTGTGATTTCCCATTCAAGTGATTAGTCACCGATCTACCCTCCCCGCTCCTATTCCCTTTTGTTTTTACAGATTCTCTATTATTTTGATATAGTTTTTACTGTCATTTTCACCATTGAAATTGCTCTAAAGGTAAAGTGCCCATCTTCTCTACCATTGCTTGTTCACAAGCTTACTAGTTTTCTGCGACTATCTGTTGCTAACACACACGCCTGTTTGTTCCTGGGTCATGCTCAGTACCACTAACCCAATTGTGCTTATTTTTCAGATCCTAGGCAATGCAGACTATGTCTTCACTAGTATCTTTACATTAGAAATTATTCTTAAGGTAACCAATCTGAGCAATACACTTGTTTTCTTCTTTCCTCCTTTTGTTGCTTCTCTTTCTTTCCTTCTTTCTTTCCTTTTCTCTTCTTTCCTTTTTTTTCTTTTCTCTTTCTTTCTTTCTTTTCTTTCTTTCTTTTTCTTTCTTTCTTTCTTT